GAGGTCCACTTTGACTTGCCAGCCCGCGAAGCCGAGTACCTCAAGCAGGTGCCAGGTTTTGAAGGCTTTGACCCTCGTAAGGAAACACTAAAGTGTTTGAAACCTGGCACCGGGTGTCGTGACGCACCCCGTGCGTTTGCTTTGAAGCTGGCCCAGTTCACACGGTCCGAAGCCATCGGTCTTCGGCCTTCCTTGTACGACTCCGAGCTGGAGTTGAAACATGTTGGCGATCGTCTCGTACTTCTTCTCGTAAAACATGTCGATGACATCAAGATCGCTGGAGAGCCGCGCGAAGTAGACGCATTAGTGGCGCATCTCGAGACTGGGTTCGGCAAGCTTGCCTACCAAGAAAATACCTTCACTGTGTGTGGCCTGACACATGTCAGACACGGCGACGGTAGTATCGAGATGAACCAGGATGCTTACATAGCAGCCATGCGGCCCATTCAGCATCCTGAGCTGACAGGCAGAGCCAGCAGTGATCCGTGTACGCCAGCTGTACACGGACTGTTTCAAAGCCTGTTGGGTGCGGTAGCTTACAGTCTTCTTTCGCAAGCGTGGGCTGCTGTGTTCGTGGTGGCCCTTCAACGACACGCCGCAGCACCAACGAACCTGCATGTGAGGCGTTTAAACCTTCTGCTGGCCGCTCTACAGAAGCAAAAGGCTAAGTTGCTTTTTCCTGTCATGACCTGTGCACGTCGTATAGTCGTTTTTTCAGATGCTTCTTTCAGCAAGGAAAGTGATCAAAAAGGCTACGGCATGCGAGGGGCCGTGTTCTTGCGTATGGGCTCCCACAAAGGACAGGAGCGCTGTCACTTCTTGGAGGCTCATTCCCAAAGCCTCAAGCTGGTCACCAGAAGCACCTTCGCTGCCGAGACTTTGGCCGCTGTAGGAGCCGTCGACTCTTTAACAGCTTTGCTGGTGACTCTCCAGGAAGTAACTTGCGGCACACTGTCGACTGAGGCCGCACGCGCACTCAGGGAACAGGGACGTTTCGCCTTTCAGTCCGAGTTATGTATAGATGCGATGAATTTATACTATGCTCTGTCGGCTACATATCCCAAACTACCCGCCGAAAAGGCCCTCTTTATACACATAGCTTGGCTAAGGGACTTCATAAGGGTCAAGATTCCTGGCGTTGTGTCTTGGGTTGATACCCGTGATATGCTAGCCGATGGGCTCACTAAGGGAAAAGTGGAGCGCGCTGCATTGCTGAAGGCAATGCAAGGCATCATAAACATGGTGCACCCGAAGATCTCCACACCTTAGGGAGCATGCACGTTCGATAATGTACTTGTACAGCAGCAGCAGCAGCAAACTCGACGAGCACACCCGACTTGTTAGGTATCCTGTAGAGTGAAGCTGTCTTGCATCTGACTTGAGTCGCGGATGTGTTCGTAGCCGAGCAGCTGCCCGAGATCTCTTACCAAGCCCCAGCGGTGAACAAATGAAGCCATCGGTATTGCTCTGCTTTTCGCTACTCCTCGTCTTCGGACTAGGGTTAAGGGTTTAGGGTTTAGGGTTTAGGGTTTAGGGTTTCAAGAGTTTGGAGCGTCAGCCGCTATCGGTACGAGGGTAAAGGCGTAGTGTTTGCTGCAAGCTTTACGTTTTTTGGGGGTTTTGGGTTGAGAAGGTGCGGTATGGTACTGGGGCTGGTGCATTTCTGCTTGGGGGCTTTGCAGGGTGCCGGCCGGAAATCCCACATCGCCTAGCGACGGCTTGGACCCCAAGCACTGCTCGCTCAGCTTAGCTGAGATTGGGTGCGCACGGTGCTCCAAAAAGGGCCAATGCTGACTGGTGCAGCATCTGTCCATGGTCATCGACTGCACCGAGGAAACGAAACAAGTTGCATGGTTGATTCTTGATGGAGCAAAACCCAAGAGTTCAGTTGTGCTTGAGCACAGCCGAGAAAACTTACAGTGCATACCCTTTAACATGCTGACTTCCAATGTAGCCACCCTACCATCGTACCATTAACATGATTGGTACTTGCAGACGTGACATTTGTGCCTTGGCAACAACTAACAGGTTTCTGACTAGTGTAAACAACTCGGGTGTATCAGATTGTTTGAAGACATGTTGTGCATCCGAGAGTGTGCATCCAACCACGGTCGAGGATGTCTCTAAACCCGACCATGCAACACGTCTCAGCTCCCTTAATCCTTCAGGCACTAGTGTGTCCAGGTGTAGACATGGTAGAGGCTGAAGTTCTGTAATGCCTGCCAGCTGATGGCTGTGATCCCGGATCCCGTCCTGGAGGCCTGATGAAGCTGTTTTGATTTAGCCTCATCCAGATGCCGTCAAAGAGCCACTACACAACCAGTGCCGTAGCCGGTTGTAACAAGGAGAAGGCGCAGCTGAAAACGGAGCAAGTGCTTGGTGCTTACATCGGGCTCCCCCTGACAACATGTTCTTCTTGGAGTTCGGCACGGATGAGCGGAGGATGTGTTAGGTTTTTGGGTCACTTGGATCAGGCTCACGAGCGCGATATTTAAATGTTGGGGTAACCTTGAGCACCGGAGACCCAGATTCTGTTGGAGAGTTGCATCTCACGTCCTCGGTCGTTTCTCGGCCTACCCCTCTTCCTTTCGCCCGGACCAGCTTGCTGGGGCTTGGGAGCACTGAGGCAACAGATAATTCGGAGCGTGGAGAAAGCATGCGAGCACAACTCCGACGAGGCCTCCATGCTGGGTCGCTTGGTAGCGTCGGTGGCGTGCGTGTATGCGTTTTGCGGATGTGTAGCATACAGTCATACAGACCTGTCAGTGCAGGCGTGCAGGCATTCATGCATGCATCCAGGCGTACACACAAACGGACAGACAGACAGGCAGACAGACATACATCCGCACATACACACATGCGCACAAACATCATTCCATGCATACTTGCATACGTGCATGCATACATACACTCATCAATGTGCATGTTCGTATATATATATATACACTATATGTATATATTATAACCTATACATACATACATATATATACATACATATATAAATATATATATATATATATATATATTATTGTTATTACTAATATTATACATACATACATACATACATACATACATACATACATACATACATACATACATGTACATATGTATGTATGTATGTATGTATGTATGTATGTATGTATGCGTGGATGGATGGATGGATGGATGGATGGATGGATGGATGGATGGATGGATGGTTCTCTGTGAGCATTCGTATCGCAGCAAAAAGCTTCAGCCAAACCATGAACATGTCTGCGGTGGTGTGTCTATGTGTGTATATATATATATATCTATCTATAGACGTGTATACATGTGTACATACATACATATATATATATATATAGTGTTTATATGCGCGTACACGAAAATACATATGCTGGTGTACATGAACCGTGCATGTGCGTACAGGTGTGCGTGCACATGCGGGGTTTCTCTCTGCTCAAGATTTGCCTGACATAGTAGTTTCAGAGAATTCCCGCCAGGAGCGGCGCTGGCTGCTGGAGTTGTGTCAGCCCAGCAACCCATGGTGTCGTCCTCGTTTCATGGGAGGGTTCTCGTATTTCAACTGGAAGGCTCCGCTGGAAAGCCTGCAACTGCATCAGATTTCCGCAGTCCCGTTTGTCTCTCAGCCGAGTTTCGCCACCTTGGTGAGATTGGTCTGCCAGCCCAAGTACAAGGCGGGAAGTTCAAACCCCCTCCGAGTCTTAGAACCATTAGACTACACGGCTCATCCCAAGTACCATAGGCCTTGAACCCTGCAACTCGGCGCCCTGAAGCCCAACCCTAAACTCTAGTGGTCATGTTTGCAATGTCCTGGCCACTAAACCATACTAAAACCTCCATTGGAGAATCCCAGCCAGTATATCCGACAGATCCTCGAGGCCCTTACCCCCCAAATGATAGCTGTCCTGTGCTAGTGGTGTAGGCTTTCCGGAAGCACAAACGCCGGGAGGGGATGTCAGCTTTTTAGCTCATGATCTCAGAATATAATAAGTATGGGCAGGGATCAAGTGCGAGGATGGCCATGGGCACGGCATGTGTCATGCATCTTGCATCATCTTGCATTGGTGAAGAACAAAAATTCCTGCGAAGAGCGTGTCGCGAGTCGGTCCCTGCACTAGGCAGCTGGGAAAGGACGGTTAGGCAATAACCAGACATGAACCCTAAACAGTAACCAGACATGAACCCTAAACAGTAACCAGACATGAACCCTAAACAGTAACCAGACGTGAACCCTAAACAGTAACCAGACGTGAACCCTAAACAGTGACCGGACATGAACCCTAAACAGTAACCAGACAGGAACCCTAAACAGTAAGCAGACGTGAACCCTAAACAGTAACCAGACGTGAACCCTAAACAGTGACCGGACATGAACCCTAAACAGTAGCCAGACATGAACCCTAAACAGTAACCAGACATGAACCCTAAACAGTAACCAGACATGAACCTAAAACAGTACACCGCAAACGGTTTGTTGAATTGAAGGCCTTCTTTGCGCTCCGGGCCGTGTGCCTTCGCGCTGTCCAGATGCTGTTTGGCCGCAGCCGGTGATCTGAACAGAGACGAAGAAGTATTGGTAATGATGGGGATGCTGCCGCCGATGATGATGATGATGA